GTGGTTTAGAGCATGGCTCCCGGTGACAGAGCGTATTGTTTGTGGGGTTGGAGCAGACTTAAAGAGGTTTCTGCTCCCCAGATGTGACCAAATTGAAGTTGCCATGTCAGCCTAGTGGTGGTAGTACATGCCTTTAATTCCAGCACCAAGTTGCCATGTCTCTGGTGCCCACTGCAGTGGAGTTGGCAGTGTATAGACTAGCCAAGTCTCCTCAGGCTGGTCCAGGTTAGGGCAGGTTAAAAGAAGCCATGGGTGACCCAGGTACTCCTCTGCCCTGGCCATCCAGAACTATATGTGTGCCTGTCACCAGGTGAGGGTACAGGCCAAGAGGCATTGAGAGGACCAGAAGAAGCCCTGGGAAACCCTGAAGGGAGGACGGACACACAGGATGGTAAGGTCAAGGCCTGCCCTGTTCTCAGGAGGGTGTTTGGTTCTTATCCATCTCTCATCTGACTCATTGCATAGAAGTCATTTACTGCCAGAGATGCAGAAATATCGTCAACTTGGAAGAGTGGTGCCCAGATCCACCAGAACACATAGCCGGCCAGTAAGGCCAGTAAGAAGGGCCTATCGGGCAGTGTGTCCCCAAAGACTTGGTAGCTCATCACAAGAAAGGACAGAGGAGCCCTGCACCACAGATGAAGGGACAGCCACCCTTTGACGTGGGAAGGCCAGCTGACTCTCCTGGCGCTCCCATGAATCCTGAGGGGAAGAGGCAACATCCATGGGCCTTGAAGGACTGAAGGGCGGGAAAGGAAGCCTTGTGCTTGGAACTGTTGAGGAACAAAGCCCAAGGCATCAGTACAAGGGCTTAGACCATAGGAGGGGCCGTCGAAGGTCTGGGAACCTCAGCAACTGCTCCTTCTGAGGCCTTGGCAAGACACTCCTGGGGCTCTAGGGTCCCTGGAGGCCGCCCTCCCCCATCACCTCACCCCCGCCCCCGGTAGGCGCATTCTTCTGGTTGGCTGTCCTTCCGACGGTCCCCTGTGCGTCCGTCTGTCGGTCTTTCTTCTCTTGCCTGCACCAAAGCCGAGGCCCTATTCATTCCCGAGGCCTCTGCCCTCTCCTGAGCTGGTCCCCGCTCGGCGAGCAGCTGCTATGCTAATGAGGGCGGCTGCGGGTGGGGCGGGCGGGCACTCACAAAGGCAGAGTCTTTACATTCAAAGCCAGCCGGGCCGTTCCTGCGAGCGCGCCTGGCGAGGCGGCGGGGAGCGGCGCCCTCGGGCGCACCGGCTGCCCCGGCACCCACTGCCGGGCACGGTGTGAGGGCAGAGACCAGCTGTCGTCTGCTCGAGGTCACAGCCTGGGACCCGCAGCTCCTTAGAAGGACCTTCCTGAGCTCTCCAGACTCCCCTCTTAGTGGCTCGGGGACGCTCGGTGCACGTGTGCATGGCTAGTAGACACCAAGGGTGACACTGCCGCCCTCCCTGGGGCTGGGAAGTTGGATAAAACCCAAATAGAGTCTGAGAACCCTGATCCAAACAGGAGCAGGGCTCTCCGGTCACCTCAGGCGAGCCGGAGGGGCTCCCCTTCGGCTCAGAGGGACAGGAAGGGGGGGTGCTTGGGGAGGGGGCTGTGGCACAAGCCTGACTCTCTGGATCTCGGACGCGTCTTGTCCAGCAGGGACCTTCCCAGCCTCTGATGACCCGTCGGATGACTTTTTACTAGAGTTCAGGAGCTTAAAGCTGGGGAGGGTAAAAGGGATAGAAGCTAGGGAGAGGGAAGCTGTGACTGGCCTGTGAGACTATGCTGCCGCCCTGTGGCCACGGCCCGCACTGCGGTCCCCGCCATGGCCGAGCTGTGTTAGAGCACTTTGTTACCTAGGACTCCGACCTCCATCCACAGGAGACAGGCAGAGAAGGTTCGCTGAGTGCGTAGGTCATGAAGGAGCAAGGGCTGTCATGGCACAGATCAGAAGGGCCTGAGCAGCTGAGGCATGTCCCAGGGGTGGGGGGGGGGGCTCTATGAGGGATGTTATGGGACAGAGGGCAAGTTCTCAAGAACTGATGACACCAGAACCAGAAAGGCCAACTGAGTAGGCAGCTTGGGCTACCACAATCAGCAATGAGAGATAGAGTTAGTGTATGACAGGCAGGTTAGATGGAGAGAAAGAAATAGGGGAAGACCAGGGAGAGAATGCACAGCAGGCCTTGGCATCGTTGCTAAAGTTGGAAAACTGGTCATTTGTGGGATGCTCAGGTAAGCAAAAGGATCAGAAGGTGGGGCATTTGGTGGGAAAGCAGCCCAGGATGTACCACTGCTTGATTGAGGCCAGCTAACCAGCTGAGGCCCCCTAGACCATTTCTGCAGTCCCTAGGATACCCAAACAAGCCTTGAGTGGGGGTTGTTGGCCTGATGATGTACTGTCTTGACCAAATGGAAAAAAGAGGATATTCCAAGGCTCAAGACTACAAAAATGGTTAGCAGAACACATTGTAATCCTGCAGACAAGGGCCACACTTCTAATAGCTTAAAGGACACTATAAATGATCATCAGGATAGGTTAGAAAGTGCCTCTGAGTCTAGAGCCTGGGGCCTTGGCAGGGAGCCATGTGGGCAAGACCCCGTGGGTTCAGTGGTGCTGCCTGCAACCTGCTACCATTATAACCTTTAAACTTCCGAAACCATAAACTAATTAAATGTTTTTTTGTGCTTTTTTTTTTTTTCAGACAGGGTTTCTGTGTAACAGTCCCAACTGCCCTGGAACTCACTCTGTAGATCAAGCTGGCCTTGAACTCACAGAGATCTGCCTTCCCCTGGCCCTGCCTCCTGAGTGCTGGGATTAAAGGCCTGCATCACCACTTGACTAAAACAGGATTTTTAAAAGTCAAAGAAAGAAAATGATTTTACAGGGATGGAGAGATGACTTCATGACTAAGAGCAAGTACTGCTCTTGCGAAGGACCCTGGTTCAACTCCCAGCACCCATGTCTGGCCACTCACAGGACCTGTAATTCCATCTCCAAGAGACCCAACCTTCTGGCCTCTGAGGACACCAACACTCACATAAGTATAGTTTAACAATCTTTTAAAAAAAAGAGGGGTTGAACTGGATGGTGATGGCTCACACCTTTAACCCAAGCACTTGGGAGGAAGAGGCTGGAGGAGCTCTATGATTCAAGGCCAGCCTGATCTACAAAGTGAGTTCCAGGATCGCCAGAGCTATTACACAGAGAAACTCTGTCTCAGAAAAAAAAAAAAAGTGGGGGGGGGGGGTTGGAGAGATGGCTCAGAGGTCAAGAACACTGGCTTCTCTTGTAGAGGACCAGAGTTCAATTCCTAGCACCTACATGGAGGCTCACAGCCATCTGTAACTCCAGTTCCTGAGACTCTGACTTCCTCCTCTAGCATCCCCATGTACCAGACATACATGTAGTGCACAAACATATATCTAGGCAAAACACCCACATACAGGAAATAATAATAAACCCTTCTAATTATTTTACAAAAAAATGCTAATATTTTGCCAGAAATAAACAGCCACCCCGTGATGGGCCTCATGAAAGCCTTCCTAGCTCCACCTCCATCCATTTTGTTTCATCTATAGCTCTCCTGTTGCCACAGCATGCTGTCAGAAACAAAGGCATATTTGTGCCTTTATGCAATGTCAGTTTATTGGATAAAAATAAACTCATAAAACCAGGTCAGTTGCTATAGCTGCAATTGGCCAAGTAGCCCTGATTTCTCTTGACGGTCGGCCATTGACAAACACAGGTTTTCTGTTCCAGTCTCAATGGCCAATATTAATCTCAGGTGATACATTATACATCACATGGTAGTTATTATACCTATGTACAAATGCAGATTATAGAAAGGCTACAAGAGGGTAAGAGGCTGCACCAGAGTTCAAGGAGTTCAGAGATGTCTTATTAGAAGAGGCAGAAAGCTGGTTAGAATGCAGAGAATCTGTGAGTTGGAGGGGATCTAGTGAATACTGTCAGAGGGCTGCTGAGGACACCACCAAGCCGAGGTGTCCACCCATCACCCCCACCAACATTCTTGAGACCTTTCCATTTTGGAAAATGGGATTTTTTTCCCCATTTGTGATGGCTATACTTACTCCACTTTCCCAAACCTAGAGTTGATATTCCTTCTCTCCTCCAACTTCCTTCTCCAGGTTGGCTATGCTAGAGGCTATAATATGGTGGCTTGAATGGGAATGACTCCCATAGGCTCCTATTTTGACTACCAGTTGGTATAACTATTTGGGAAGGATTAGATCTTGCTGAAGGTGTCACCAGGGCTTTGAGGTTTCAAAAGACCGAGGCCACTTGGAGCTAATTCTCTCTGCTTGTAGGTCACAGGAGGGTTGATGCAAAGTGAGAGCGAGCCTGAGGCCAGTCTGGGCTACAGAGTTCAAGACAAACCTGGGCTGTATAGCAAGATCCTGTCTCAAACACAAAACAAAGCAAAAAAAGAAAACACATGAAGGAATGTGAGTTCTAGGTTAACTAAGTTCTCATAGCAAGTCTGTCTCAAAAGAATAAAAGCATTAAAAACTATTTATGGACTTCCTGAACAGTCTCTGCTGGCTGTGCTCTGAAGCTCAGTTTCCTATTACACTTCCCTCTTCAGAACTTCTCAATTATTGAAAAATAAGACAATCATTTGACCAGCACAGTGGCACACAAGTGTAATTCCAACATTTAGGAGGCTCACAAGTTCGAGCCTGGGCTACAAGTGCAAGAACCTGTCTGAAAACAAAAATCATTTGTGGGGGGAAGACTGAGGGGTTTTTTGAGACAGGGTTTCTCTGTGTAGCCCTGTCTGTCCTGGAACTCCATCTGTAGAACAGGCTGACCTTGAACTCAGAACTCTGCCTGCCTTTGTCTCCTGAGTGCTGGAATTAAAGGTATGCGCCACCATGCCCATCTCCAGGCCTAGGAATTATTAAATAGAGGCTTAGAGAGAAGCTGGTGAATTTACCATCGACAGGTTTCAGTATGCCTCTCTCACTCTGTAGGTGAAGCAAACAGAAAACCAAAAGGAGACAGTAAACTCTTAGATTTGAGCTGCAATTTATTTACAAGCACGATACAACCTTCTCAGTGTTGGGTGTACAGGCCTCTTAAGACAAGAAATTGGCCTCGTTGCAATTATTTTATAAATGTATTGTTTTATAAATAAATAAAAACAAAACTCTGCATGGGTTTGGATCTTCACTAAATAGATGCTCTGCAATGTTAACTGAGGTGAATACAAGCAACCTTGGCTGGGTAGCAGACTCTTCACGTGAGTTTTCAGTTGACAATCCTGGGGGCCTTCTTGGGGAGTGCTGAGGACCCCAGCATCACCCTGCAAGGACTGCCCAGCACCCCTACTCTGCAGGTCATGCACACAAACCCCTTGAAGCATCAACGCAAAGGCCTGAAGGTAAAGCAAGAGCCTCTACCTTCCCTGCGGCTCGGCAGGTGAACTAAGGTGGATGGTGAACCTCCTGGATTCCCAGGTCTGGCCATCCTACCCTCTGCATCCCATTGCAACTCCGGCCCAACCTTTCAACCTCAGGGAGACCTCAGAGCAGGAAGGAGTCCTGGGGCCTGAGGAAGGATGTGCTGGTCACCTCCCAGGCAATAGATCTGTGTGCAGAGCACAGCAGGTGGGGGTGTTCTTTTTTCAGAGTCCTTCTCCCAGTCACTGTAGCACACAGGTCCTCAGACCACAGCTGGAACAAGCTGAATGGGACACAATTAAAAATGTGCAAGGACCTGCTCAGGGAGCCTGCCGGTGATGTTGGGAAACCTGAGTTTGGGTGGTTTCCCAGCATGTCTCCTCTCCTCAGGGTGGGGAGGACACACCACCTCCCTGGAGGGGCTCCTCCTCTCTAACCTCCTCTGGTGTCATTCTTGCTGTACTGTCAGGCCCCTTTCTAACCCGCAATGGTGATCAATTACAGACAAGGGCTGGGTGCAGCCACCAGGAGGCAGCACAGAAGTTGCCAGAGCACTACTAAGGTGCCTCATACCAAAAAAATTCCACAGCACCTTGCTCTTCTTGAGCATGTGCAGATGGGATTGAGAGGGCTGAAGCTGGGGCACCAAAAGCTATGGGGAACCTCACCCCCATGTAACTGTGGTGACCAGACAGTTACACTGTCAAGGAAAAGGGGTCTCCACATCCAGCCCAGCACAGGCAGGTAGAGGCCCTGACTCCTTTGGTCAGCCCATGGGTCCAGCCAAGAGCCTGAGCTGTCTCCCACCCCACTGGACCTCATGCATGCCTGGTGCTTCCTGCAAACTTTCACTGCTGCCATTATTTGCTGTGGACTCCAGTGCTGTCACTCCAGAGCAGATGGCAGGAAGGGACCAAGTGGAAGGAATGAGTCCCTCAGCACTAAGACAAGACTAGAGCAAACAGGTAGCCTGGCCCACTTAGATCCACATTCAGCCAAGTCCATGCTCCATGACACTGGATCTACGCACTGGCTTGCAGACCTCTCTCCACCCCACTGCCGTCTCAGGAGGGCCTGGAGAAGCGATCCCCACCTTGTGGCCTCTAAGCTAAGGAGGCATCCAAGGGGTCATTGGGTGTTTGTGAGAAGCACAGGGACTACCGCAGATTCCAACAGGACCAGGCTGTCACTACAGCCACTCATCTGAGATAATCTGTATCATGAGTGCACACATCCACACATCCACCTCCTGGGGTTGTGGGAGGCCCTATCACATGTTCTGGGAGATGATGGACATAGTGGGGGCTAAGAAGAGGGACTAGACTACAGATAGGAAGTGGCTGCTTTCCTGGTGACCCTTAAGGCTAGAGTGGAAGAGGAAGCAGGGAGGGAGCTCAGAGCTCAGCCTCCCTAGCTCCTGGATCAAAGCAGCCTTGGGGAGCCACTGATCACCTGACATTCTTCCTGTGCTCTTCAACAGCTCAAACGCCTGGGGCCATTGGCTAGTGTCCAGCATGTGCAGGTTTCTGCTGCAAGAGGTTGACCTTAGCTACTACCTGCTTGCAGCCAGTGATGGCAAATTCATGTCCAGCAACTTGATAGTAGCTGAGCTGTTCTGCCAGATGCTCTGCCAGCTCCTGCTCAGGGAAAAAGCCCTCCCCTGCCATCTCCTCTCGGAAGCAGTTGACCACATCTGGCTTGTCTAGCAGCAGGAAGGGCACAATGGCTGCAGAGTGCCACAAAGGGTGCTCTCGGGCCAGGAGCTCGTGAAGGCTGCTGTGTAACTCCTCCTCAGCTTGGGACACCTCAGCCTGAGTGCTACTTGCACTGTGGCGGTGTGGGGGCAACATACGTGATGCGTTCTGTAGCACAAAGTGCGTGATCTCTAGACCGCCAACACCACTTAGGAGTACATAGATAGCGTTGTGGTAATGGTGGGAGCGCTGTGGCTGCAGGAGGCCATGAAGCTCATCTAGCAACGCAGGTGGCAGTAGTTCAGCCTCATCCAGGACCAAGAGAGGGGTCTTCTCCTTGGCCTCAGCCTGTGCCACCACATCTGCCACACGCTGTGCCAGTTCATTCCGGCAGTCCTGAACTGGGCGCAGTTCTGGACAGTGATGTCGTGCATGGTACTGTAGCACCAACGCGCCATCCTCCAGCACTGCATGGAAGTGGCGTGCCAGCAGGCGCCCCACATGACTCTTGCCCACACCACTGGGCCCATGCAGAGCCAGGAGCAAGGGATGACTGTGCACGTGTGTAGCCAGGTAGTCCCGCAGCAGGGCCATAATGCGGCCCACAGCAGCTGGCTGGCCAAACACAGAACGTTGCAGTGACTTCTCCAGCCCATCGAGGTCATAACGTTGTGCATTATCGTCCAGATTCTCGATGGCGTTAAGAACCTGGAACCCCACGATGGCTACAAGCAGCAACAGACAACGCTGTGCACGGCTCTGGCGCTCTGTGCGGGGTCGGTACTTTCGTGAGGTTTCAGGATAGAGCACTACCCGACTACGCCTACGCCTCTTGCGTGGTGTCCTGGAAGACAACTCCGTCAGGCTGTCGAACGTGAAGAACTTAGGTTGGTCTAGGTCCGCACGCAGAATCCCGGAGCTGCCGCTGGACCTGAGTACCCCTGTCCCAGCGTCCGGTTCCGTGCCTAGCTGCAAGAGGCGCCTCTTGCGCAGGACGCAGACGCGGCGGCGTAGACGAAGCACTGCGCGCACCGGCGCGATCACGCTTGGGCCCTTGGCCTGGGGCTCTAGGCTAGGTTGGCCGCGATCCATGGTGTAGGAGCTGTCCTGGGCATGTAGGTCCCCCTCCCTGCAATAGGAAAATTGGAGCACCTCCTGAGTCCCTGATCTTAGCCTCTGGGGGTCGCTTAAGGTACTTCACGGCCAAACACTGGCTCCGCCTCGCCTCACCCCCACTGACCAGGAAGCTGCTGCTCAGCAGGAGGGCCCCAATGCATGCAAATCTCTAGAGAAAAAACCCAGGCCTTGAGGAAGTGCGGGGGTGGGGTGGGGGTATTGTATAATTTATCAGGCTGCTGACTTCCTTCTTGGAGGAAGAAGCGGAGGATTCGGGGTCACACTGTCACCGATTAGGGGTAAAGAACGGTCAAACTGGACCCCGCACCCACCCCCAGCACCTATGGGACTGTCAAAAGCCTTACAGGTCCCTAATAGACCCCTTGGACCAGAGGACCCAGTACCCCTAAGAGCTGAGACCGTCACCATACTCAGGGGCAGTTGGTGTAAAGGTATGTACAGACCAAACTTCCATGTTTTGGGGAATGGACCCTGGCACTGCCCCCAGCCACAACCTAGGCCTTTCAACCCTACTCCCATCCTTAACCCCTACCCGTGCCCAAATCTGGGGTCCCTCAACATGTCCTCCCAGTGGACACAACAGAGCAGAAAAATGAACAAAAAGGGGAGCCGGGGAAAGGCTAGGGCTCTGACTATGAGGAGGCTGGCCTGAACCTCTCCATCTCATCATCCCCTACCTGCAGCTGTTCAGACTCCCCAGCTCAGCCACTCCCTTCCAAGGCCAGGAAGCAGGAAATGCTAGTCCTCCCCACAAAAAGGTGAGGTGGGTGGGTCAGGGTCCGCCTGACTCAGCTCAGGCTTGAAGGGGCTGTGACTCCTACCAGGTCCCCAGGGACCGAAGCAGAGGAAGCTCTGGGGAGGTTTCCGCTGAGATGCAAAGGAAGTGAGTCAGGGGTGCTGGCGGGCGGAGCTTGGGCTGAATGGATGAGCGGGTGGGGGAGGCCTGGCTGACCGGGTCTAGAACCCCTAATCTGCAATTTACCCACTCTCCGTCCTAGTGTTTATGCCAGGGAACATAGGGAGGGAGGGCACTTCCAACAGTTCTTCCTATAGGTTCCCTGGACTCTGAAAAGCTCAGTCTGCCCTTTACTGATCCTGCTTCTGCCAGCATAGTCCTTCCCCTGACCCAGCAAAACTGACTAAGGGACTCTAGAGGTCCTTACGAGGCTCTCAGTCCACTGTAAACAAGCAGAAAGCAGGTCATTTTCCTCTCTGCTTCCTTTCCTTCCACCCCTTTACCCATTCTGCTGGACTCCTAAGACAAGACACAAGAGACAGAAGTTCCAGCCAGAGCTAGGATCAGAGGCCTTTTGAAGAGGGAGGAGCACATTTAGAAATGTCCTTGGGCCAAGAATTAGAAGACAGAAGCTTTAGACTTTTCACGGCAACCTGGTTGCCTGGGGCCCTGCCCACCTCTGTGCCCATTTATGCAGGAAGTGGCCTGCCTGGATGGGCCCAGACTCCTCCCATTCTCAAAGGGAGCTGGTTGTTTCCTTGGCCAGCCTAGAACCAGGTGAAATATCCTTGCAGACTTCTGACTGACCAGGCCCAGAAGGGGAGGGCCTCTTAGAAACCTCCACTCTCTTGTCTGAAAAACTTTTCTGACCCAGGAAGGACACTGGCCCTGAAGCAGCTGACCAGGCCCTGAAAGAAAGAGACAAGAGTGATTTCCAAGTGGGCCCAATGTTGGCCAGTCTATTTTTCAAGAGGCTGGCTGATCTGTCAAATTTTCTAGGGTCCAGTCCCATTCTGGGGTAAGGCCTGCTAAAGTGGCACATTCGGGGAGCTTATGTCCCAGACTTAATCTTTGTGAGGATAAGGCCTTTATAAGCAGAAAGTCCCACCCCACTGCCCACTCTCTTGTCCAACCCTATTGTAAAGTCCAAACTCACCAGCTGCAACCCAGACCCTCTTCACCCACCAAGCCCCTTCCCTTTCCAGGACAGCCAAGGCTTCATGGAGAAATCCTGTCTTGAAAAGAAAAAAAAAAAAAAAAAAACCCAAATAATAAAAAGAATCCAGTAGCAGTTTCCCTAATTGATGGCCTGCATCCATGACATTTGACATTTGATCTCTCCTCAGCTGGAAACTTAGCAATGTTGCAGTGTTCCTGTGGCTCTGGTGTGATGTGCTGAAGCTCCCCCAGGCCCCCAGTCAGAAGTGGTAGAAGGCTGAAAATTCAACTGTGGTATATCTCCAAGATGGGTGGTGTTAGGGTCAAGAGATTATGGGACTGGCATGGCTTTAAAGAGAACACTCACACACACCCCCCGACACTATGAGGTACCCTTTGCCTCAGTCCTCTGCTGGAAAGATGGCTGTCATCAAATACACTCTGGACTTTGGACCAGGTCCTTAAGCCAAAATAAACATACTTTCTTTATGACTCATCTAGCTTATAGTGTTACAACAGAAAATTGAACTAATACAGTCCCATCCCCCTTCCCTCAGCTTCAGGGATATACTCCACTGCCTGCCCCCTCCCCCACCTGGTAAGAAACAGCCAGACTCAACCAGGGAGCATATCCATTCATTCACAGCTGGGAAAAGCCAGGTATAGACCTGAGGGCCCTGCAACCACCCACACCTGCCTGACCCCATCATAGACAGGGGGCTTTCATTATGCCTCACATAGCTGCCCTGCTCAGCCACTGTCTGGTGTTTCATGTCCTGAAGGGCAGTGATGCCCAGCGCCCAGCTGGACTTTCCCTAGCCATTCAAGGGATAACTAAGCTGCCATGTGGCTGGAAAGTGTGATGTTCAGAATCACTTATGACGTAGGGCTCATGCTTGGTCCTCCTAGTGATTCCAATCCCTCATTCTGAAAGGAGTGAAAGACTGCACACCTAGATATTGGGACAGAGATCAAGGCACAGAGCTGAGAGCCTTGAGATCTTCCAGCAGCTAGGCCCTAAGCCAGGTCCCTCAGAGCAAGGTTGCCAGGCACAGAGGCCAAAGTATTGACTCTCCAGAAGAATGTTGCATCCTCCAGATGAAGTGGCAGGTGGGTCTCTGTGAGTTCAAGGCCAGTCTGGTCTACAAAGCAAGTTCCAGAATAGTCAGAGCTATTACACAGAGAAACCCTGTCTTGAAAAAAAAAAAAAAAAAAAAAAAAAAAAAAGAGAGAGAATCTTACACCCACCCCTGCTCTCAGACCCAGAACAAACAGAATCTCTCACCATGGATTTATCAAAATGTGCTTTATTTACATAAGTGGAAACTTCAGTGTGTACACCCATCGTCCCCTACGCAAGGGCCAAAACATGTAGCTGGGCAAGGATTTGCTTTCTGTTACAAAGAGTACATACACTGAGGTGGGGAGCTGCCGGGAAGAGCTCCGCCTACAGATCTCAGTCAGCAAGGACTACGCACTGACAGAAACGTGCTCAGGCCTCTGCTTCCTGCAGACTCCACCTGGCTTCTGTGGAGGACACCACTGCTGTGCTTGGGGTAACAGGCCCAGCAAATTGGCTCTGGCAAACCCAGTATATCTTTCTCCTTGGGCTTTGTCCAATCTGACTATCCGCTCAGTCAGGCCTCTCTATCCATTGCTCTCAGAAAATTAACTGGCTTTTTCTTAATACCAACCACCATCCATCTCTGCCAGAGTCAAACAGGGACCAAGCCCCACCATACCATCATGGGTCCCCCTTTGATGTGCAAGTAGACCACTGAGAACCTCTTGGTCCAGACAGCAACTTAGAGGAGAGAATATCTTGCCAAGGAGCAGCCCTCAGCTCACCCTGCACTCCTAGTTGACTAGGCCTCCTCCCATAGGGGTACTACCACTAAACAGTCCCATAGAGCCTCACAGTGGAGCTGGAGCAGTCACACTGGGAAGAGGCAGCTCCAGGGCTGGGGTCTCTGCAGCTTGGGTAGGACTGGGCTTTCGATGGTCCAACTGCTCCAACTTCTCACCAAGCTGGGAGTAGAGCTCCTTCACAGCCTCCCCACTCTGTGAGAAAACCAGACACAGGCATTGTGGTGGTTTGAAAGAAAATGGCCCCATAAGGGAGTGACACATTAGGAGGTGTGGCTTTGTTGGAGTAGGTGTGTCCCTGTGGGGGTGGGCTTTGAGGTCTCATATATGCTCAAGCCATACCCAGTGAGACTACTTCCTGTTGCCTACAAGTCAAGCCATAGGGCACTCAGCTACTTCGCCAACACCATGATGATAGCTTCTGAACTGTAAGCCACCCCAATTAAATATTTTTCCATTATAAGAGTTGCTAGGGCCAGGCATTGGTGGCGCACACCTTTAATCCCAGCACTCGGGAGACAGAGGCAGGTGGATCTCTGTGAGTTCGAGGCCAGCCTGATCTACAGAGCAAGTTCCAGGACACGCTCCAAAGCAATACAGAGAAAGCCTGTCTCAAAAAAAGAGTTGCTGTGGTTGCCGGGTGGTGGTGGTGGTGGACACGACTTTAATCCCAGCACTCGGGAAGTAGAGGCAGGTGGATCTCTGTGAATTCCAGGCCAGCCTGGTCTTCAAAGGAAGTTCCAGGACAGGATGCAAAACTACAGAGAAACCCTGTCTCAAAAAAAAAAAAAAAAAAAAAAAAAAAAAAAAAGGGGGGGCGGAGAGATGGCTCAGTGGTTAAGATCACTGACTATTCTTCCACTTCCAGAGGTCGTAAGTTCAATTCCCAGCAACCACATGATGGCTTATAACCATCTGTAATACGATCTGGTACCCATTTCTGTCCTGCAGGGACACATCTAGACAAAATACTTTATACATAATAAACAAATCTTAAAAAAAAAAAAAAAAAAAAAAAGGGCTGTGGTCATGGTGTCTCTTCACAGCAATAGAGATCCTGAAGACCCTAACTAAGACAGGCATGCCTGGGGGCTTAAAAGATGCCACAGAGGTTAAAAGCACTTGCTCTTTCAGAGGTCCTGGGTTTAATTCCCAGCACCCACATGGCAACTCACAACTGTCTGTAACTCTAATTCCAGAGGATCCAACACCCATGACAAAACACCAATGCACATTAAAAACAGGCATGCAATAGAGAATAGAGCAGGTAGTCTGAGCCTACTTGGAGGAGTGAACGCACAAATAAGATCAACCATTAAGAATACAGAAGTAGGGGCTGGAGAGATGGCTCAGAGGTTAAGAGCACTGGCTGCTCTTCCGGAGGTCCTGAGTTCAATTCCTAGCAACCACATGGAAGCTGTAATGAGATCTGGTTCCCTCTTCTGGCATGTGGACATACATGTAGGCAGAACACTGCATAATAAATAAGCATAATACATAAATAAAATAAAAAAATACAGAAGTAGGCCAGGCGGTGGTGGTGCCCATCTTTAAGCCCAGCACTCAGAAGGCAGAGGCAGGCAGATCTCTGAACTAGAAGCTAGCCTAGTCTACAAAGTGAGTTCTAGGACAGCTACAGAGAAACCCTGTCTTGAAAAAAAAGAAAAGAAAACCATGAAGGTAAGCACCAAGGACATGCATGCCACAGCTGGGTCAGCCAGGTGCATTCAGAGCAATGCTCTATTAAAAATGGGAACTGAGGATACCTACCTGGCCTGTGGGCTCCAGAGCCTTCTGCAATGCCTCCAGCTTGGAAGGGGCCACCCTTGGGTGCAAGTGGAGGAGAAGCCTCAGCACATGACGATGCACGTTTTCCTTCCTGGAAGAAAACAGTGAGGCTGGAGGGGTCAGAACAGCTACTCCTTCCTAGGCACAGCCCACCTGGGGCTGGCATGTGGGTTCAGCTCCTCCCACCCCACCTAGAGAACCGGGACATCCCAAGCTACACCCAGGAATTACCCACTATAGCACAGGTCCCAGTGCTCAACGCCCCTCCCACACTGTCAAGCACAGAACTGACAAGAAATGAAGTTCCGGTGGGTTGTGTGTCCTACCTAGGAGATGCAGTGAGGAAGAAGCCATCAAAGAGGCTGCTGCAGAAATCCTCCAGGGCAAATTCATCAGCCAGGAGTGCCAGACTCCCAGTGAGCAGGTGGAGGAAGATGTCACTGAAGGCCAGATCACCAAAAGTTTCCACTGAAAACACAACAGGGTGATGGCTCGGCCTCTGTTCTCCAGGACTAAGGTGCGCAGAGAGACTTGACTAGGTGAAGGAGATAGGTAGTCTGTAGCTCTCAGGCCAGAAGACCACAGCTAGAGTACGATGAAGGAAAGATGCTCTGCCCAACAAAATTGACCTCCACAGAGAGAAAGTCCACAAACAACCAAAGATATGCAGTAGCATAGGAGTATACAGCCCAGAGGGGAGTCTGCCAAACCCTCCCAATGACTCCTCAGTTAAGAACACAAACACTGCCAAACGCCCGATTGGAAGACACCAAAGTAGGGCAGATGGCCAAGCAATTGTAGATGAAACCTGCTCACAACCAATGACATGAAGAGTGCTGCTACCACAGGCCGGGCTGCTAGAGACAGACCACAGAGTGATGCCCAGACAGCAGTCACTCAAGAAGAGATGACAGTGTGGCCTTGCCTAAGGACAGACACTGTGTAGACAACCTTGGGATCCACCACCATTCCTGACAGTTGGAGCAGGTGTTTTGATGGCAGAGCTAGTTGGAACCACTTGAACCTATGGGAAAGCTGGAACACTTTTCAGGGAGACTCAGCTGTTCTGGGGGTATTAATGAAAACAGATTTGATGTCCATGCCCTGCCTGGCCATATGCATGATTACCAAGAGGCTGAGATGCTTGTATTCTTCCACCTTCAAATAACCATGACACTTGAAAATCCTGACTTGGGCCCAAGACACAGGAACTCAGCCACCATCCATCCATCCATCCAGTGACACAAAGCTCACAGCAGGTTTGTTCAGAGGCGGCCCTGGTCTTAAAATCATCCTTCCCCCCCCCCCCCCCAAGGTAGGATGCCTACTAAGACAAGTGTTCTGGTCTGATTCTGAAACATCTCCTACAGGATCATGCTTTGAACATTTGGTCCCCGCTGATGGTGCTATTTTGAGGTGAGGCCAAGCTGGTGGAGTAGATCACTAAGAGCAGGCATTTGAGGGTCCCACTCTGCTTCGTGGTTTGCTGTGACACGAATAGCCTCTGCCACATACTCCCATTGCTGTGCTCTGCTATGTCTTCCCCACCAATATGAACTGAAACTCTCTGAAACTGGGTCAAAATGATTAATTTGAGACTGGAGGTGGCTCAGGGCTTAGAAACACTGGCACTCTTGCAAAGAACACATATTCAATTACTAACATCCACATGGTGGCTCACAGCAGCCTGGAATTCAAGATCCAGCGGGTCTGATACTCTCTGGACTCTGTGGTCACTGCACACACCTGGTACACTCATATTCCTTTAGGCAAAACACTCACAAAACAAAAATAAACTCTTAGCTGGGGCTTGGTGGCACACACCTTTAGTCCTAGCACTGGGGAGGTGTACACAGGTAGATCTGTGACGTCGAAGCCAACCTTAATCTATATTGTGAGCTCCAGGACACCCAGAACTATATATTGAGATCCTGTCTCAAAAGCCAAAACCAAAAATCAAATAAAAGTAGAAAACAGACTTAAAAAACATTCTTGTTTATTCTGTTGCTTCTGTTGGTATCACAGCTATACAAAGTACCTAATATGGCTGGGCATGGTGGTATACACCTGTAATGTCAGAAGATGGCAGGCAAAGGCAAGACCAGGAGTTTAGTCCATATTTGGAGCCAGGCATGGTGGCACAGGCTTTAGTCAGCACTGGCAGAGCTGGGTGTGATGGTATATGTCTTTAATCCCAGTATTTGGGAGGCAGAGGCAGGTGGATCTCTGAGTTAAAAGGCCAGCCTGATCTATATTGGTTCCAGGTCAGCTAGGACTACATAGAGACCCTGTCTCAAAAATAAACAAAACAAACAAGCAAATGAGTGGGTAAAGGCAACACAAACTTGGAGCCCTGAGCTGATTTTCTGGAACCCACAGGAAGGTGGGAGGAGAGAGTTGACTCCACAAAGTTTCCTCTGACCTATAAACAGGAGCTGTGGTGTGCACAGCTACATATACAGAATATTAAATATTTTAAAAACAAAATTCAAGAAAACTGATTAGAACTCATTCAAACATAAGATCAAGCAAGTTTTTTTTTGAAATTTAATTTTATGTGTATAGATATTCTGCCTGATGTATGTTTGTATATTATGGATGTATCTGGTGCCTACAGAGGCCAGAAGAGGACATTGGATCCCCTAGAACTGGAGTTACAGACAGTTGTGAGCTTCCATGTAGATTGGGGAATTAACTGGGAATCCTCTGAACAACAAATAGTGCTCTTAACCACTGAGCCATCTCTCCAGCCTTGAGATTTTTTCTAAACATGACTGAATGCTGCACCACAGGTACATTACAGGTAGACATCCCTCAGCCAGGAAGGGCAAGCCATACTGCCAGTTTATTGGTATCATACCAGATGACTGACAAAACAGACTGAAATGCATGGAAAGGCAAATCAAAGTTACTCCATGTATTCCTAAGGTCTTAAGCAAGCTAACTCTGTGACCAACAGGATGTTTTGATACCTCTAAACCTGGAGAAGGCATAGACTGTATAGAAGGAATTTGGCTATACCCTATTTTAGCTCAGCAAGGCTCACTTCAAATTTCCTGACTCTAGAACAATAGACAGTTTAAGTCTGAGCTGTTTTAAGCTGCTAAATCTGTGGTAACTTGTTGAAAGGAAAACTACAGGGCAGGCCAAGAAAATCCAGTGAGATGGAAGCTACATAAACCAATATACACAGACCAAGCAGAAAACAAGTATACCAGTGACTTACAAACACATTTAGAGGAGAAGCTGGCTGGTGATGCCCAGCATTGAAGGGCTAAGGCAGGGGGCAGAGGCAGTAGATCTCTGAGTTCAAGGCCAGCCTGGTCTACACAGTAACTTCCATGACAGCCAGGGCTACACAGTGAGTCTCTATCTTAAAACAAAATAAAATTGGGGAAAAAATGAAAAGAAATCCCATCTTTATTTTCAATCCTCTAAACTCAGGACAAAGGATGAGTCCGCAAATGCCTGGAGCCTGTCATCACAAAGACATAGGATGTCACTGCAGCAACCCTTCCCAGGAAGCCTGTAGCTTTAGGTGGTTGTTTTTGTTGCTGTTGTTGTTGCTGGGGATAGAATCCAGTACCTTATTCATGCCAGGTTAATGCTCTTATCACTGAACCACACTATATCCCATAGCTTTACTACTGAAGAGCCCACTCAGAACTCCCTTTTTATCCCCAGGCAGCTAGGGGAAAGAGGCCCCTTGAATAAGGGGTCTGTATAAACACCAAAGAGTTGTGCTTTTTACCAATCAGAACAAAATAAAGGTTTTTGTTGTTGTTGTTTGTTTTGTTTTGAGACAGGATCTCTCCTGGACAACCTAAACAGAGGTCTGGCCAAATGGCTCAGTGAGTTTTAAAAAAAACAAAACAAAACAAAACAAAAGAAAACAACACCCACAAGCCTGGAGACCTGAGTTGACTGCCTGGAACCCACATAAAGCTGGAAGGAGACATCTGGTTATGTAGACCAGGGTGACCTTGAACTCACAGAGATCTGCTGGCCTCTGCCTCTTAACTGCTGGAATTAAGTGTGCCACCACACCTGGCTATGAATCCCTTCTGCAGGAAATCATAAGACCCACCAGTAACTCTGAAACAGAGCTAAGACCTGCCTACAAACATACATACATACATACATACACACACACACACACACACACACACACACACACACACACACACACACACAGTGCCTACTGACATGGAAATCAAGCTATAGAAGTTGGGGGTGAAGGCAGAAACAATGACAGAGCTCAGGCCCAGCTCAGGTCATAGGTGGCAGGCAAGCAGCATAGCCATCGGGACTCACCGAGTCCAGGCAGCAGGCGCAGGAGTGCATTCTTGTTTCTCTGCTTGGTGATGTGCAGGACGTAGTACAGTCCCACCTCACAAGCCATGCGTTGCTCCTGCAGAAACCTGCATGCAAGAAGCCACAGCCTTCAATCAGACCACCCGGCAGCACCTTCACCTGCAGCCCCACTCTGCTGCCTCCCCCAAACACTGCCCTGGAGTCCTACTTGGTGAAACTTTCAGGAAGCGTGTTGGGGTACGTGACTGGGGCTTTCTCCTCAGCTGGAAGCTTCTGATCTACGTTGAAAGTGTAGTCATCCACCACGAAGGACATGAGCATTGGCAGGAACTTGGTGATGAGCTCTGCCTCCTGGCAGAAGGAGTGTCTGAGGCCACTAAGGTCCCACTGATCCCAGCTGCTCTCAAAATACACCCTAAACCACCACTTTGCCCAGTGCACATCAACCAATATACTTTCCTCAAATCCATCTTTCCTGGACATTGGTTCCCAGGATCCTTCCTTCCTGTATCCTGAGACTCATGACCAGTGCTATGTTCTATTATCATGTTCCTTTTTTTCTTTTTCTTTCTTTCTTTCTTATTGCTTTGGAGGCTGTCTTGGAACTCGCTCTGTAGACCAGGCTGGCCTCAAACTCACAGAGATCCGCCTGCCTCTGCCTCCTGAGAGCTAGGATTAAAGGTGTGTGCCACCACCCCCAGCCAGTGCTATGTCCTTGAATCTCTCATTTGGTATAATCACGGCTGCACCTGCAAAGCCCCACTGGGCCCCAGTCCCCAAGGAGTAGCTCACCCTGCATCCTTGATGGGTGTTCACCTAAAGACTCTAAAAGTAGAGTTCTGCTACCAGAGGGCCCCACCCTGCCATTCCCCATAATTAGAAGAAAAGGAGGAAACTAGACCCCATACCATCTTGGGCTCCTTGAAGACCTGGCTGTCTATTAAGTCCCATGCACCTTGGCCCAGCGCCAGCAGCCTAAGCAGGAGGAGGAGGTCAGGGCTATCCTGAAAGAAGACAGAAGCCTCAGCAAGAGCTCACAGAGACTGTTCCATCCTCTGGTCTCCCTGAACAAAGCAGGGCTCTGCTTCCTAGGGCCAGGACCCTAGAAGAGCAATCATAAGGCACTCATGACCCATTCCCCACCCACTGAGCGAAACCCAATTTCACCAGTGGACAGTATGTCCTCTGCATAGTCACCAGCATGCCTATGCTCACCCTGGGTAGTGTCTCCTGGCTAACCAGCTCCTGCAAGTGCCTGATGGTGCTCAGAGACAGTGTGTTGATGGCAAAGGGGTCACACAGGATCATAGACAAATCCCTGGAAGGAACCAGACCTTGGCATAAATTGAGAAGCCTGACTATTCTGTTTCTAATAGCTGCAGTGTCAGGTGCACAGGGACAGCCACAGACTAGGATGCACGGGCTTGGGGACTGACCCCAGAGGGCAAGCCTCTCTGTATTGAATTCATAAATTATCCATAACTTACTCAAAGATCTTCTAAACTATAGAGTAAAAGAAAAATCCACCCCCCAATAAATTCATACTTTGTTTCAAAAACCCTGACTAAAAGGCAAGTAATGGTGGCACATGCCTTTAATCCTAGCACTCAGGAGGAAGAAGCAGACACATCTCTGGGATGAGTTTGAGGTTACATGGTGCTTGGTCTACACAGTGAATCCCTACAAAAAACCCTATCTCAAAAGAAAAACAAAATCCGTGGCTTAGACTCTAGGTTTAGCCAGTGAAAGAATATAAAGCCAGTGAAACATGGCAAGGCCGTACCAGCAGCACTGTGTCTGCATACAGACAGAGGTTGCTGGAAATCAGACAGGAGTATCTAATCCAGGCCTCAGCTCAGACAGCACACCCTAGCTTGCTATAGACAGCAGTCCCCTCCTACCTAAGCTCCCTATGCTGGCTCCCCCAGTAACTTCATGCCTCTCAGGTATGGACTCTTTTGCTACTGTGACTCATTCCAAGCAATGAGTTAGCACTGTTAGCAGCAAGCCTGGTACCCATCACAACTGTCCCAAAACAGACCAGAATGGGCCCAAACTACCAATAGCAGACAAGCCCCACTGCATGCTTGTTTTGGGATCCCCAGGCCAGGGCCCTCACAGAGCTGACTCTCACCCCAGAACTTGTTCCTGCCCCTTCTTCACACCATCAAGAAACCCCTGTAGCTCTCGGGCTCTTTTGCTGTCCACAAACCGCTCACGGATACAGGCATCCAGGCACCAGGTGAACTACAGGAAGGAAGTATACAATCTCAGAATACCCAGGCTCTCACCCCTCAGTCAAACTCTGCCACTGCCCAAATGGCTGTGGGAACTGCAAGACTAGATAAACATAAGCCAAGGCCCACAGTCCCACCCTAGGCCAAGCCCAGGGTAGAAAGGAGCCTGGAGAGGACAGAGAAAATGGCAATTAGTAGAAGGGGGCCATGCTGAAGGCTGGGCAGCAGACTTCTTCAGGTTTAGACAGCCAAGACTACCATTGCTTTGTCACTCAATCACTGGGTACTAACAAAGAAAAAGAAACACAGTACTCATCCCCCAGTGTTCAGAAGGAAACATGGTATGGACTGAGACACCAGTGAGCTTTCATGGGGGACCAGTGGCCTACAGGGAGCAGGAGGCTCCTCAGGCCCCAAAGCAGCAAGGATCAGGATAGCATATAGAGGAGGTATATTTGTTTTCCCTGACAGGGAACTAAACAGGACTGGCAGCTGGGGTGACATATTATGGCAGTTTTGTGGTGTTGCTCAGTGCTTAGCAATAAGCAACACCACACAGTACCCTGGAGGTGGTCTCAGATTTCCTGTGCTCTTGGTGGGGGATAGAGGGAGGTGCAGAAAATCCCATTCCTAGATTACCTTGGTGCTGGCCAGCAAGAGGCATTGAGGGCTCTGGGCACAAGAAACCAAGAGCCCAACAGAAAGATGGCCATAGGGCCTGCCACTTACAGCTACAGAGTGGAAGCTGTAGGACCAGCAAGAGGCAGCTGGACAGCTGGACAGCTAGGTCTCTGCAGGACCTGTTCACCCTCAGCGGGGCTGAGGGACACAAAGCTTGCAGTCTGAGAAGCAAGCTTAGATGTGGTCAGCAGGTCATTCCTGGCTTAATGAATTCAGAGGAGGACACAGGGGAAGTGCATGGGTGGGCATGCAATACTACCTTATGGCAAGGATCCACAGTACAGATGTCACTGACATCCAAGTCATGCAGGGACATGAGCAGCTCAGCTCGTAATGTACAATAATGCACATTCCTGGTCCGCAGAAACAGTGTGCGCAGAAACTGCAACACCATGTCATAGAGCTTCACATTCTTCCCTACCATCTGTGTCAGCTTCTGTACCACCTAGGGGCAAGACAGAAAAATGGAGTCCAAAATCCTCACCCAAGGACAGGGACAAGTGGTACACACCTTTAATCTCAGCACTCGGGAGGCAGAGGCAGGTGGATCTATCTGGGTTCACCTAGACCAAGTTCCAGGACAAGCCAGAGCTGCATAAGTAAACAAACAAAAACCAAAAAACCCTGTCTCAGAAAGTAAAAACATAAATACTACTCAGGCAACAACACACACTGGTGCCCTAGATTCAGAGATGCCCTGTCTCTTTTAGGTGTGAGACATTTCCGCTCTCAAGCTGGTAGCTCCACATTTATCCCAAACATACCTTGGTCTGTGATCTACTTTAACTTCAAGCACCTGCCTGTCAGGTTAAGGGGTAGGTGACTCATTCTAGAAGCAGTGCTGAGAGCCCATCTGAAGAAAGAGACCCAACACAGAAAGCTCAGGCTATATTGCCACTGCCTCTGGGCCTATGTTAAGGCCTATGAGGACAAACTGGGTTCTCCCCTTCCCTGTCTTGTACCCAAGCTTATGGCTGTGACCATCCTTGTCCCAATGCTAGTACCAGGGCCACAGAATACACCAGGGTGCCTGGCATCAAACCACTAACACTGACATTCAGCTCTATCTTGGACTGTAGGCAAGGGCCATGAAGGGACACCAGTGCCTACTCCCTTGGCAGGTGTCACCCACCCTACATTTACCCAACAAAGGCAAACTGCACAATCCTGCTTAATATAAAAGCTTCAGCCAATACAATTCGCTCAGCTGCTAACTGGACATGGTTAACTGAGTCTCAGGCCTATGGTACAAAGAAATATTCGGGGTTAGTCCAAGGTGAAGTTATCACAAGAAGCCCAAAGTCATCAGGCTAGACTCAGCAAGTAATAAGGTCAGTGGAGAAGACAGCAGGGTGGCAAGAGCCAGTAGTTCTGGTAGTTCATTCTCCAAAACCCCTGCCAAGAACTCTTGGACTGACCTGGATCTTTATCTCAGGGACAAAATCTTCACATCACTCAAGCCATGTGGCTACCCCAAGGCTCCCTCATTCACTGGGTACAGATCCCAGAGACAATCTAACCCTGACATGGAGTGTGCCTGCTTCACACATGACTGACCAACTTGGGAGCACCTGCTCATAGGCAAGACAGCTGTCCTACAGCCAAGACTGAAAGAGGACCCATTAGCCTGATGTCCCCAGTGCTGTAAAATCATAGAGCACTTAGAAGAGTCTGCAAAGTTTCCAAGAGGAAAAACAGGCCAGCATCAAAGTGATATACATCAGACTCATCTGCAGAAACAAAAAACAGAGACCATCACAAAAGTCTTCGACACTTTGGACTTAATTCTAAATCCAGCCACTTGGCCCAAAAGTCCAAACAACATCTGATGTGTCAGCTCTGGAAGCTCACACCTAAAAGAGACAGGTGAAAGAAGTCTGTAGAATAACCCACTCAACACAGGACACTGGGCTAAATCAGACCTGGTGTGGCATGTCAAAGTAGGATAGTCATGAAGGCCAATGGATCAGGGAGCCAGAAGAAGCATGGAAGAAGTCAGCATATCAGTGGGCACTATACAGAGAGCTAGACAACTGGAAAGTAGGTACACCTGAGCCCACACTTGCAAAAACCTGTTCTACCATTCTCCACCATATATACTTGAGACAGGGTCCTTCACTAAACCTGTAGCTCAACAGGTCTTGTTTGTTTCTGTCTACACTGGCAGGCCAGCAAGCCCAGTGATTTCTCCTGATTCTGCCTTGTCCCTTCCAGCTCTAGGGTCGCAGGAATCTGTGGCCACCCTAGACTTCTTTATGCGTGTTAGGGATTCAAATTCAGGTCTTGTAAATAATCTTACCTAAAAAGCATCTTCCCACTTCGTCCCTACATACTTTCCTGCTCCTCTGGATAGTTTTTCATTTGAGCTTATATACATAAGAATACAACTTTTAAAAAAATCAACCCAAGACAAGGCCACTCAAGCAGTCCTCCTCCGTCAGGAGTCAGTGCTGCCTGTGGTTGAAACAGAAGGTGGAAGAAAGGCTGGGAAACAGAGGGAGCCTGCTCTGCCTGACAACAAGGGAAAGAGGAATGTTTAGGGAAGGATGAGAACCATAGAGAAAGAAAGACAGGAATGGCAAGAGCCACAAGTCCCTCCTACATGGCAGCCAGCAATACCCATGGGGGAGACTTAAAACCCAACTAGAGCAATGAGCCACACAAGGCTCTTCCGGTGTGGAACATGGCAAATGGTATGCCATAAGCTTGAAAAGCTCACCAGGCTTCAAACTCGGTAACTCCTGGGATGAGGGCAATATAGCTAAACAATGGCTCATGTCAATTACAGGTTGAAAGACAAAACTTTGAATGTATCAGGTTAAGGCAAAACATCAAAAATGACCTCATCTACTTTTGTCAAAGTACATACTAGGAAAATTTGAATAATTTATATAACTCACTTTATCTTTTTATTGACAAGTGCTAGCCTAAAGTAAGCTAGTTACAAAGTCTTGACTTAAGAACTGACAAGATAATGGGTGATGGTCACACACACCTTTAATCCTAGTACTTGGGAGCAGAGGCAGGTGGATCTCTGTGAGCTCAAAGCCAGCCTAGTCTACATAGGGAGCTTCAGACCAGACAGGGCTACATTGTGAGATCCTGTCTCAAAAATGAATAAATAAGTTGCTTATAGCAGATTTGAATTTTTAAAATGCCAACATAAGTAACAGGTAAAAAATAATAGGTAAAAAGTTGAATTCAGTGTTTTTTGTTTTTTTTGAGAAAGTATCTGCTACGTTACTCAGACAGGCCTCAAACTCACAGCAATCCTCCTGCCTCAACCTTCTGCCAACCAACCTTTCCCAAGCTACATATACAAGCTCATGCTTACAGAAGCACTCCCAGGGAAGAGGCAAGGGAGAGTCTAGTCACAAACCCTGGGAGTTATACCCTGCCCTTCTCACCTCTCCCTGGCGCCTGGTCTTGGGGGAAGGGCTGAAGAAGTTGTGCAAGACAGAGAGCTCTGTGCTAAAGAGTGCACTCTCTTTCTCCAGGATATACTGCTTCAACAGCGGTGAGACTTCATCACCAAAGAGTGCTTGGTTGTCTTGCCAGATCTGCCTCTTCACCTCCACGGCACACGCTCGGTACAATTCCTTGTCAGCCATCACCAGCTTCAGCTTCTTCTCAGGGACCTACAGAGCAAACACCACAGCTCCCTGCAAGTGGTGCCTGTGTCCCCAAGTCTCCCTCAGCACAGGCCAAGAGGCCTCAGCTGCCTACAGAACCTGTAGAGCCCAGCCACAGCAACAGAGACACACCTGTGATGGACCTCCAAGTCTTAGCAGGTGAATTCAGACATCCAGAATCCCTATAGACCTCTCCCAGGAAAGACCCACCCTCCAACTCAAGGGCTCATCCAGGGGAAGTCTGCCCAGAGCCTGCTGGAGGGCAAGTCCATAAAACTTTCCAGGAGCTAAGATGACAGTATGTATCACAGGCCACTGACCTCCCCTGGGAGGGCTTGCTTCATTGCTCTCACCTTGGGCAAATGTTTCATAACACACATCACCACTGGTTGTAGGGATGGCATCTTGACCAGAGAAAAGCTCTTTTCCAGAAGGTCTTCCAGCTTCTTGTACCTGGGCAGATTTGCACAGTTGAGAAAGTGAGTCTCCACATGCAGGACATACAGAGGAATCTCCTCCAACATATTCCAGGTCGTATCTACAAGCACGACTGTGCAGCCATAGGGGGCATTAAATGCTACCCACAAAGATAAGAAGCTCCCCAGTAGAGACCCACCTCTCCTCTGCCTTTCCCTCAGAGGCGATAGCTGACACTCGTTCCAGCAGTTTGTCGCGTAGCTCATCAAACACTGACTGATGGAACTCCAGCCGCGGTGTCCCGTGCAGGTCCAAGAAGGGCAGGGCCGACTGCAGGGAGGGCAGCAGCACCCCATTCTCTGTCTGGAAAAGCAGAGGGTCAACGCATATGCATTTTGCTTGGCCGCAGTCAACACAGCACGGGCACCATGGATGCCCTGAGTACACGGGTCCAGTGTGGTAACCGCGAAAAAGGCAAAAACAGTTATTCAGTGGGTTCCTAGCTCAGAACCTCCAGTGTCTCCTCCATCCAAGAGCAGAGAAAGCGCAAAACTGTGTCCGGCTTTCCCAGCAGCCCGGGGCCCCCTCCTGCTCACCTGAAATTGCTCAATGGCCTTGAGCGGCTCGGTGCAGTTGGTCAGGGTCTCTTTCAGGTCCTCGCCATTGGCCACGCCCAGGTCCTGGAGCCCCGCGAACATGGCCGAGGCTCCGGCTGCCGCCCGGCTGTGTACCCCATCCCCGCCGCGCTCCCCTGGAGCGGTCGAGGACGCTGAAGAAGCGCCAGAAGCCCTCTCCACGATGCCACGGGTACCCCCCGAACCCCGCTCGCCCGCAGCCTCCAGCGTGGCCAGATCGCCTCAGCAGAGCCGCTTGCCCCGACCCACACCTCCCACTTCCGCCCTTCACTGCCTTGGTCCAGCAGCCAATAGGTCCCGGGAAAACGCCGCCACCACGCGCAGGTTCCGGGCAGCGACCCAGTAAGAGACAGACTTGTATAAGGGGCGGAGTCGGGATGACGCAACCACTTCTCGAGAGGCCTTGGCCGCTCTAGCCCCCTCCAGTGCCACGAAATCTTCCTTTCTCCTCGTCTGCGCTGTACACACCAGAACCCACGCTCTGAGCCAGCGGAGGAGCGAGGGGTGGTAGTAGCAGGCCTCTAGACGTGTGGTAGAATCACCTTCCTTATGAATTTCAAAATTGACTTGTATCCAAGTACATTTTATATGATTGTGGAGATAGCACTCTTTTGATGTTGAGGTTTCTTTTTCCCCCCTTGTGCCCATAGGTGTATTCTTCACAAGGCTCCCACCATTGCCTTCATTTGAACTGAAATCTCTAGTGGCCCCAAGGGTGCTTTGCCAGAGCCCTGGGTATACAGTGGGAACCACACCTTCCTTGTGAGCATGCAAAGATTGCGATTTGAGTTATATAGTCCACGTTCCAGTGTCCCTTGTCCTTGGCAGTAAGAGAGGCTAACTTGGCTGGAAGGGCTCTCACAGTCTGCTGTGTAAGCGCTTGTGCTCAGCATTTAGCTCTCTGCAGCCTTCCCACTATTCCAACTGGCCCTTTATCCCATCAGCCTACTACTACACACACACCCAAACAACACACCTCTCTTTTTCATGTGCCTTTGCTGCTGAGGTTTACCCTGCTACAAATTCCCTCCTTGCTGCCCACCATTCTTGCCTATTGGAAGCCATTTCTCTTACTGCCCTCCTCCAGGAAGCCCTAGGCAGACTTCTTGTGGGGCCCTCAGCCCTACTGAAGGGTGATGGTTTCTGTTCAAATATCTGGCACTAGGATACCTGTTGGTGTGGCTATAAACAGAGCTCCTATTCCCACTGAGGCTGAGTTCCTAAGACCAGGGATACATACCTGTGCCGCTGTTTTTTGCCAGCTAAGCAGCTCCATGTAGGAAGGACCCTGTGGTAAAAGTCCCCAATTCCCCCAGGTTATTTTGGTTCAGCCACCACCTGGTACAGTCAGAAGATACACACACATAGTACTGAAGAGTCTTGGTCCAAGGCTTCCACTCTGCAAAAGGGGTGGTGCTGACCCCAACAGAGCAGCTGGGATAGAAGCTCCTTGAGTGAGCTCTCAGAGGATGCCATGACAGTTCAGTGGGTAAGAATGCTTGTTGCCATGTCTGAAGACCAGAGTTGGATCCCTGAAGCTGACATTTTCCTAGTCCATGTGAATACAGTGGGACACATTAATAAAAATAAATAAATAAATAAATAAATAACCCAAAACTCTGGAGGATCCCATCATGCACATGGTGGTTAACAACTATCCATAACTCCAGTTCCAGGGGATCTGATGTCCTCTTCTGATCTCCACAAGCACCAGACATACATGTGGTATATAGGCATACATGCAGACAAAACATTCATACACATAAAATGATAAAATGAAATCACTCCTTTTTTCTTTCTCTCTCTCTCTCTCTTTTCAAGATAGGGTTTCTCTGTGGCTTTGGAAGCTGTCCTGGAACGAGCAGCTCTTTGTAGACCAGGCTGGCCTCAAACTCACAGAGATCTGTTTGTCTCTGCCTCCTGAGTGCTGGGATTAAAGGCATGAGCCACCAACACCCATCGAAATCACTTCTTAAGTGAGTTCTGGTTTGGGCTTGATGGTGTATTTATTTTTTCCTTGAGATGGTTATTATTTAAACCAGGTTACCTCAAACTCAGCTCACCTGCCTCTGCCTCCTGACTGGTGGGATTAAAGGCATGTGGTGTCACACTCATTAATGATGCACATCTTTGTTTTGTTCTTTGAGACAGGGTTTCTCTGTATAACAGTCCTGGCTGGCCTTGACCTCATGGAGGTCTGTCTGCCTCTGCTTCCTGACTACTCGGATTAAAGGCCATGCACCACCACTACCTGGCTCCTTTTCCTATTCTGTCCTAGTTCAGGAAGCTTAGGGTTTGTTCCCAGGCTGCCATTTCAATCCTGAAGAAAAGTGCACCATGAGGAGCAGAGAAAGCCAGCAATACCGGGGAAGCAGGAAGCCACATTAGTCAAAACAGCCCGTTGGGCAAAGGATGGGCAACCAGGCACACCAGAGACTACAGTTCAGAAGAATCATTTGCATCTCAGTATAGTGGGGGGGGGGGGGGAAGGCTCTGGGAAGACTCTTCTTTTTGAACAACATAAGCCAGAAGAGTGGGTGAGGGGTGCCTAGAAGGTCATAAGGCCAGGCTGCAGACAAAGTTCCAAAAGAAGCCTAGGAAAACCTGAAGGGAGGTCAGCTTTGCAATCTATACCCTACAGTGTGCAGAAGGGGCCTGTATCATGACGTTTGGGTCTGCGCACTCCTTGGATGACTACTCCAGGCGGAGATGGGAATCGTGAGTTGTAGCAGTCTTCCACGTAGTAGGCAGCAGGACCTGGGGTTCGGGCTGCAGAGAGAGTGAGCTGACCCTAGTTCTCATCCCCCGTATTCCCCCTCGCCATGTAGCCCAAGCCCCACTCCACCCTCAAGCAGGCCAAAGCCTCTTTTCCTAGGCCTTCTTACAAGAGCTGACCCAGGAAGCAAACGCAGGGGAGCGACTCATGGAGAAGGCAGGTGAGCGTGTACTCTGCAGGCGGCACCCAGGAAGGATGTCATAGGTGTTGGGGCTAGGTCGCTTCTCGCCAGATGGCTGTGAGTCAGCCATGAGTGGAGTATAGGCACAAGGACCTCGAGCTCGGAGCATCCCTGGGCGTATATGACTCTCGGGTATCTTGACATCAGAGCGGCGGCGGCCTCCAAAGCTGAAGGCCGGGAAGGCAGGCTGGCTCAGCGGCCTATACTCGGCGGGCGATGGCCACTGTAAGAAGTCAGGATGCGACCCAGGCCTGCAACCTCCTTGCCCAGCTTTACATAGTCCTCCAGGCCTGGCGAGTGCTTTTGTTTTTGATCCCCAGCCCCACCCCCACCCCGCTTCCGGCCATCACCAAGCCCAGCCTCGTAGCTCCTCCCTCAAGCCCCTCCCACAAGCCACCTGACCCCTCCTTTCCTGGCCTTCTCCTCACCTGCAACACCCCCACCTTTCGCAAGGCGGCCCCTAACCATCTTCTTCCACCCTCCCTCTACCTGGCCCAAGCAGTGTCTCTCTACCTTTCGCTCTCGATTGAAGTCAGTCTTCTGCGTGAAGGGGCTTTCACTTTGGAGCCACACAGTCTGCCATGCCCTGCGGCCACCACCCTCTGCAGTGGGGCGGATAGTTGGTGGGAAGGTCTTGAGGGCTGGAGGCCCCCATTCCCCAGGGATAGGCAGGGTTGTGGGGACATGTACCTCGACCAGGGTTCTTGCGGCCCATGGTGTAATGGGGATGGGGAGAGGACTCCCGCAGAGACGCACTGGGCACCTCATACTTGGTGGGGCTGGGGACATCCAGGTCAGTCAGGATCGGAGGGCGTCGTTCCAGCACTGGCGCAAAACACAAGCTCTAGACCTGTTTCTCCCACAAAGCTGATTTCACCTTATCCCTCCCCATACTGGCCTGGGGTGGGAGTGAGGTAGCCAAGAATCTCACTCACACAGCTCCCTCAGGGCCCCTGTGGGCTCTTTGGGGGTGTCCATTCTTAACCTGAAGCCACCTGGGGCCCTCTTCGTCTTTGGGGGCCACATCTCATTCCAGGCTGCCTCCAGCTCCTGGTCCCACCACAACACAGCAGCCTCAGGCCTGCAAGAAAGCCAACAACCACTATCCACCTGCCCCAGTGGTCTTCCCACCTGAGTCCCCACCTGTCTGCCACCCTCTGAAATTACTGGGTGGGATGAAGAGGTTGCTGACTCAGGGGACCCCGAGTCCAGTGTTTGCCTCCATTGATGTAAAAATTTGCCAAGAATTTCACAGCTTTCTGGTCAAAATTCATTCTGGGTCTTGGGGTTCTCTTGGCAGAGGGCACTGCTGGGTTCTGTGACCTCACTGTTGGGTCATGCCCCTCCCCTCTGTTGCTGGGGAGTCCCTAGAAAAGGAACATTGTCAGATCAGTAGGGGCTCTCCTACAGGGCCTCCATCCTCTGCCCCTCTCCTGCCTACTGAGACATCACCCAGGTCAGCTTTGGTTAAAACAGGCAAAACAGGCTCTAACCTGTCCCGACCCTTTTTCTCTCTCCTGGGGGCTTGAGTCCACTCTAGCAGTACTTCTGGGAGGTCTGGGGCCCCACTGTAGGTGGAGGGGCAGGGCATGTGAGTACATGCTAAGTAAGTCCTGCAGTATGGCTAGGTGTGTGAGGGCCAGCTAGTAGGAGCAAGACAGTCAGGAGGAAGAGGAAGGCTGCTGCCCCTGCAGTAAAACCTGGCTTGGGAAAACAAAGCAAAGTAACTCAGCCTGGCTTCAGTCAGACCAGCACAGGCAGGGATAGTTATCAGTGCTTGTCTTCTGCCTCTTCCTGATGGACAGAAGCCAGAATGTATTAGATGAACTGGGTTGTGTCTAGACAATATACAGAGGAATACTGAGCCTGAAAGAGCAAAAACCCATCTGGGCACTAAGGCCCTTGCAGAGTGGCCTCTGATACTGGCTGGTCTGGCTATCCCAGCCCTGACTTTGGCCCCAACTCTTCCAAGGCAGTGCTCAGACATAAATACCTTCATCACAAAGCCTCCTCCAATCATATTCTACCATGACTGGGCTTCTTCCTTTCTGGATCTCTCCCTTTAGCACTGGCCCTAATTGACACTTCTCTGGCTAGGTGGATGGAGACATGAGGAAACAAATTTGATTGGACAAGGGTGGGGGTCACAGGCTGCCAAGAGCCTCCTCCTGCATTGTACAGTGTCCTTTGAGAACTCAATTGATGGTGTTAAGGTACCCGTTTGTAGGGTTCTGAAGAAGCATCTGTTGCCGTTTAGGTGACCTCAGTTCCTCCCTGCAATATTTAGTGCTGTGGGCCTCAAGTGGCTCAGTCAGTAAGGTGCCTGCTGTGTGCTACCTGGGAGATGGAGGAGGGAGGGTCTCTGGGGTTCACTGTCCAGCCATTTAAACTGAAACGATATACTCTAAGTTCTGTGAGGGGAAAAAAAGAAAAAAGAAAAAGAAAACCTAAAGTGGGGAGCCATCAAGGAAGACGCCCAACGCCAACCTCTGGCCTCGCATACACATTCACACTGCTGTGGAGCTAGACACGGTGACCCACACTTGTAACCCCAGCCGTTGGGAGGTTGAGGCAGGAGTATGGCTACAGGTTCAAAGCCACCTTGGGTTACACAGCAAGAAAGAAAAACAGATAGATGTAGTTGTGATGGTATCACACATGTATCTTTTCTTGTTTCAAGAATTATTTAATGTGTACATGTGTTTTGCCCACACGTATGCATGTGGACCACATGCAAACCTGGTGATGTGGAGGTCTGAAGAGGTCATCAGATTCCCCTGGAAGTGGAGTTACATATGGTTGTGAACTACCATGTGGGTGCTGGGAATTGAATCTGGATCTTCTACAAGCAAGTGCTCATAGCTGCTAACACACCTCTCTAGTCCCCATCACAATCACCATGTATCTTTGCCTATTAGTTTCACAGCAGTGGGAGCAGTGTCTTGTTTAGACTTGATCTATATTAGCAAATTGTGCTCCAGAAGGTGTACTTCAGCAACCTACATTAGAAACTGCCATTATCTGCATTTGATCAGCATTTATTTGATTCAGGTACAACTATATTTTTTTGTGTTTAGAGGCTGTGGGTTTGTTTTGTTTTCAAACATTTGTGTTTATATTTGCATTTTAATATTGGGGTTAAATTTTAATGTTTTATTTCATAAGGTTTCTTTAAAGGATTTATTTTTAATGAGACTCTAAAGCAATCACCTGCATTTATTTATTTTGGGTTTTGCAGACAAGGATTTTCTGTGAAGCCCTGGCTGTCCTGGAGACCAGGCTGGCCTGAAACTCAGAGATCTGCCTGTCTCTGCCTCTCCAGTGCTGGGATTGAAGGTGTAGGCCACCACTTCCCAGTGATCTTTAGTACTTTTAACTATGTGTGTCTGTGTGTAGGTATGTGCACAGAGGCCAGGGGTATTGGATTCCCCTGGAGCTAGAGATGTAGGTGGTCATGAGATGCCTGATGTGAGTGCTGAAGTCAAGTAGGGTGGTTTGGGAGGGCAGTCTTAGCCTCCGAGCCATCTCTCTAGCCCTTCATGAGTCTTTTATGTGGACTTATCTGTTCATAATAGCTGTTGCAAATGTTAGTTGGCTGTCCATTATTGTTTATGCTGACTTGACCGGGAGTAGAATGCACAATTTTTCCCCTTTATAATATATTCACTTTTGTGGTTATAAAGTTCTTTCTATGAGCTAGGGAGAGAGCTTAGCTGGGGTTTCTGTGCAAGTGTGTGGACTTTAATTTGAATCACCAGCACACATAAAAGGCTTGTCTTGATGGCATGCTTGTGGATAAAGGCACTTGCCACCAAAGTCTTACAGTCTGAGTTCACTCCCCAAAACCCACATGGTGGAAGAGATAACTAACTCCCCAAAATTATCCTCAGACCTCCACAGGAGTGCCATACACATGTGTACACACACAATAAAAAAATTATTTTATAAAGCAAGTGTTGGGGAAGCACAGACAGGTGGCTCCCTGAGCTCACTGGCTAGCCAGTCTGGCTTAATCAGTAAAGCCTCAGATACCAATGAGAGAGCCTGTCTTGAAAAAAAAAAAAAAAAGTTGACAGGGCTGGAGATGGCTCAGAGGTTGAGAGCACTGACTGCTCTTCCAGAGGTTCTGAGTTCAATTCCCAGCACCCACATGGTGGCTCACAACCATCTACAACGAGATCTGGTGCCCTGTTCTGGTGTGCAATCATACATGCCAAACACTGCATACATAAGTAAAATCTTCAGGGAAAAAAAAAAAAGGTTGATAGTGTTGTGTTAGAAGATGACCACTGGGCTCTGTACAGAAATGAATATGTCTGCAAAAAAAGTAAAGGGCTTTTGTATTTTTTATTTGCTAGTGTGTGTTAGTGGAAGCCAAAAGACAACTTTTAGGAATGGGTCCTCTCACTTGGTGAGTTCCTGGGATTGAACTCAGTTTTCATGACAAGCATTCTTTACTTCACCAACTCCAAAGAAAGCTTTTAAAAATTTTTTTTTAGTTTATGTTCATTTGTGTTTTGCCTGCATATATATCTAGGAGATACATAGTGTCAAAAGCCCTGGAACAGGAATTACAGACAGGTGTGAGCTGCCGTGGGAATTGAACCCGGGTCCTCTGAAAGAGCAGCCAATGCTCTCAACCACTGAGCTATTTCTCCAGCCCCGAAAATACTTTCTACATTAAAAACCAGAATGAGGATTTGCTAAGTATAGAAATTAATGTCTTACTACAGGGGAACAAGCCTATTGGACAATCCACACAGCTGTCATCTGGGAAACCTGACTCAGTGCTGACTTCAGTGGAGAAAGACTAGGGTAAAGCAGGAACTGCTTGTCAATTGGGTCTTGGGGAGCAGTCAGAGTCCAACCCCATTCCATTTCTGGCTCCTGGGCTCTGGGAGAGTGGGGCTTCCTTCCAGGATGCTCTGCCTTGTGCAAGACAGCTTTCTAGCTGGTGTTTGAACCAGAGATGTTGTGAGACTAGGAGCACTCACAGGGTTAACAGATGGCTGGGTCCATAATGCTGGCCCCTTCACAATGGTTACCAGGCAACAGGTCTCTTTTCAGGGAAGGAAGGTGGACCAGAAAGGGCTGAACCAGCAAGGGCAGAGTCAAAGCAAATGTCAGCTACTCAGAAACACAACCTCTTCACTCCAGAACCCCACTACATCCCTGGGTAAGAGCTGGGAGCTCTATAGAGTTTGGGGTTGGGAAAGAGGGATGACCAGTAGGGCTGGGGTTTAACCAGGACTCCAGGAGGCTGAGGACCAATGCTGAAGAGACCCAAAGCCAGAGTTACTAAGGAGTAGAATAGAACACCAGGGCTAAAGAGCTCTGGGACAGGAAAACGCTGAGGTAGAGCTACAGATGAAAGCCTAGGCCTTGCCCCTCCCCGTGGCTTTAACCTGAATGCAGTACTAGGTGGCCAGAATGTCTGTCAAGGACAAAAATTATGGCAGCCAAACAATTTGGCAGAGACTGGATAAGCAAATGCTGGACTTGTTCTCCATAGGAAGAGATAATTTAGAGGTGGAGTAAGTATAGTCCAGTTAAAAACAAAAACAAACAAGGTTCCATTCAGATGTACGGTACCTAGCATGCATACACAAAGTCCTGAGTCTGATCTCCAGCACTGCAAAATAAATAAAATAAAAAGCCTCCGAAGAAAGTGTGTGTGCCTACCTACCTACTCAGCCCCAGGTGCTACATGAGAGCACATAAGATGGGAAACTGAAGGACCTATACCTCCTTTCAACTTAGTCACTTTTGGAGGTGACAGTGGGGTGAGGGATGGAGTGTTGAAAATGGCTTAGGTGCTGGGCTGGAGAGATGGCTCTGCTGTTAAGAACACTTGCTGGTCTTGCAGAGAACAGAAGTTCAATTCTCAGCATCCACATGGTAGCTTCACAACCACTTATAACTCCAGTTCCAGAAGATCCAACACCCTCTTCTGACTCCCAAAGGCACTAGACACACATGTGATACAAACATACATGCAGGCCAAACACCTAGGCACATAAAATAGAGAACTGATGGGTATATGGGTCCACTGTGGAGGACAATCTGATAGCGGTGATGACAGTGAAGACCCTGGTGTATTGTCAGATCTGGCACATGTTATCCTCTAGGAGTCCCAGAAAGTGGGTGCTTCCATTACCTTCATCTAAAGTGAGCAGAGGTCAGGTAACCTGCCTGGTCAGGTTTAATGCCTGCTAATTAACAGGCAGGAGTGGCATCTCCCTTGCTTCTCTCCACAGCTATGCTGGTTTCTATCCTCAACTGCGCTACCAGGTGGGGAACACCTATGGCCGCACCACTGCACAATTGCTCACAGATCCCAGCGTACAGAAGAGCCCCTGCTCTGTTCTGTCACCTATGTCCAAGCCCAAGTTCATTGAGGACTTCAGCAAAAATAAGCCACCATGGATTCCCTGCAGGGACCTGACAGAGCCTTACATCCCCCACTATACCAGTGAGCTTCAGATCTTGGGTGGGCCCCACCCAGCCCAGCCTCCACTGGGGCTCCACCCTCCTCCTGTATGGCTCAAGAGCTGCCCTGTCCGTACAGGTCTGAAACCCTACAAGAATTTTGAGATCCTGGGCCAGGTCCCACGCCAGGAGGTGAACACCCTGCGGCCACCACAGGCAGAGAATATATCCAGAGAGATCCCACTGCCTGCAGGCTTCATGCCTTATCCTCCCTACCCACCATTCCCTCCGGGCAGAAAGGGAGAAGCTAGAAACCTGGGACATCCAGGTCTACTGCTGGCATATGGGGAAGAGGCCTGGAAAAATGCAGCACCTCTTCAGGAGACCCCAGGGAGGTACCAGGTAAGTGTAAACACCCTGGTCTGGGTCCTCTTGTCTCCCCCAACACCTCCTGGTGGAAGCTGTGTCACACTTTACACTTCCCTGTTCCAGCTATACCACTGCAGGAGGGACGAGTACCTGCCTCCACATCCCTCGCAGGAGACACTAGATGTGGGCAGGTTCCAGCGACTACCCCAGCTAGACCACCCCAACCTGATCCAACGGAAGGCCATCTCAGGTATGTGCTGGGTGCCTGAGCCATTCCCCACTTCCAAGGGTCCAGATGAGATGGTGAGAACAGCAGCGTTTGGCTTCACTTCTTCCCTTGAGCCAGCCAAGCTGTTCTCATGAGGGGTTAAGTTTGGCCCCAAGAGAACCTTTAGGGATGGAAGGGGCTTAATAACTAAATGTTCAGGGATAAAGGGGCTCAGGATTTCTGACACACCTGGCAGATTATGCCTGGAAGGCAGCCAGGGAAGAACCCTGACACCCACCTATCTCCAGGGTATGCTGGCTTTGTCCCCCGGTTTGCCTGGGTGATGGGGATGAACTACCGTGATGGAGTCACACAAGCTATGGATGAGTTTGACAAAAACCAGGTAGGAAAACATGGGCCTAGCCTGCTGCCAGGTGCCTCAGCCAGGCTGCATCTGCTTCCACTCCCAGGGGTCATCCTTAAGGCCAAGTTTGTGGAGGCTTAGGGCCTTAACATCCTAACAAGGTCTGATTCCCTACCCTAGTTAAGGGGTGGGGGTGTTGGTCAGTCAAAACTCCTAGAAAATCAGGAACTTAGTCAACTACAGCCCTTGTCAGCACACATCCATTTCTCCAGTTTGTGTTCAGAAACCCAGTCTGTGCTCTGGGTGAAAGGCTGCCCAGGACCCACTGGCCAAACACCACTGTCTACAGAAGCCAAGGCCTGATTCCCTTCTACATGGGCTTCATCCCATGTGAGTACCCCATACCCACTTCCAAAGGATAAGATTAAACTACACACCAAACCCATGGCCGACCTCTCCAGTGTGCTAATCCCAGGAACTCGGCTTACTCCTTTCTCTCTTGCAGCCATGCAGGACAACTATGCACTGACATTCGGTAACAGTACCCGAAAAGCCTATCAGAAGGAACTGGAGAGGCGAAGCCACACACTATGAATTGCTTTAATTGTGGTATCTGTACAAGTGATGTCAGGACAGGACAGCAAATGCACAGTGAACATGGCTAGCAGACAGGCTGTGAATGAATAAAGAGTTCACACTGCAACCATGCTTTAGCTGCTTAAAGACAGCTTTAGGCCACCTCCTCCTCTGCCTCCTCCTCAAACTCTCCCTCCTCCTCAGCCGTGGCATCCTGGTACTGCTGGTACTCGGACACCAGGTCATTCATGTTGCTCTCAGCCTCGGTGAACTCCATCTCATCCATGCCCTCACCCGTGTACCAGTGCAGGAAGGCCTTGCGTCGGAACATGGCTGTGAACTGCTCTGAGATGCGTTTGAACAGCTCCTGAATGGCGGTGCTGTTGCCAATGAAGGTGGCAGACATTTTTAGGCCCCGAGGTGGAATGTCACAGACAGCTGTTTTCACATTGTTGGGAATCCACTCAACAAAGTAGCTGCTGTTCTTGTTTTGGACATTAAGCATCTGTTCGTCCACCTCCTTCATAGACATGCGGCCCCGGAACACTGCAGCCACTGTCAAGTAGCGCCCATGGCGGGGATCACAGGCAGCCATCATGTTCTTGGCATCAAACATCTGCTGGGTGAGCTCAGGAACTGTCAGGGCACGGTACTGCTGACTGCCCCGGCTGGTCAAGGGGGCAAAGCCAGGCATGAAGAAGTGCAAGCGAGGGAAGGGCACCATATTTACAGCCAGCTTTCTCAGGTCAGCGTTTAGCTGGCCAGGGAACCGCAGGCAAGTGGTCACCCCACTCATGGTGGCGGACACTAGATGGTTCAGGTCACCGTAAGTGGGTGTGGTCAGCTTTAGGGTTCTGAAACAGATGTCATAGAGTGCTTCATTATCAATGCAATAGGTCTCATCTGTGTTTTCAACGAGCTGGTGTACTGAAAGGGTGGCATTGTAGGGCTCAACCACTGTGTCCGACACCTTGGGGGAAGGCACCACACTGAAAGTGTTCATGATGCGGTCTGGGTACTCCTCCCGGATCTTGCTGATAAGGAGGGTCCCCATCCCAGACCCCGTCCCCCCACCCAGGGAGTGGGTCAGCTGGAAGCCCTGCAGGCAATCACAGCTCTCAGCTTCCTTCCTCACAACGTCCAACACCGAGTCCACCAGCTCTGCGCCTTCTGTGTAGTGCCCCTTGGCCCAGTTGTTCCCAGCCCCACTCTGACCTGTAAGAGAAAACAGCTGGTCACTAACTGTTATGTGCCCTACCTAGGTGCCCAACGGTGTGGGGGTTGTCACCTCTAAAAGTCAAAAGACCCCTGGTGACACCATAGCAACCTGCCACGTAAAAATATAATAAAAAGGAACCCCAGAGCTAGGACAGTAAATTAGTTCCCTAGACATCCCCGCCGATATTCAAAGACAGCACAGGGACCCCTGTCCCTGCTCACTCTCTACCCGCACAGTTAGACGTTCCCAAGCTACTTTCAATCCAGGGCAGGAAGGTGTTACACCTGGGGCAGCTAGTCAGCAGGGTCAGCCCCTTGACCTTTGAGCCTCTGGAGTAGTTAGCTCCACCCACACCCCCACTGCACTCACCGAAGACGAAGTTATCAGGTCTGAAGATCTGCCCGAAAGGCCCGGAGCGCACTGAGTCCATGGTGCCGGGCTCCAAGTCCACGAGCACAGCACGGGGCACATACTTGCCACCTGGTGAGACAGAGGGAGGTCAAGCGTGGTCAAACGGGAGGGGCGGTCGGGAGCATAGACAGGCAGAGGAGTCTTACCGGTAGCCTCGTTGTAGTACACGTTGATACGCTCCAGCTGGAGGTCGCTATCTCCGTGGTATGTGCCGGTGGGATCAATGCCATGCTCGTCGCTGATCACCTCCCAGAACTGCAAGGGACTCGGGCGTTAGCTGAGTCACGGCGGCCGGTGCGCTCCAAGGCAGCCCCGCCCCGGATGGGTGCGGCAGGCCCTTCCCCCCCCCTCCCCCTGTCTCCAAAGCGCCCGGGAGACGGGTCCCTAGGGCCGAGCACGGTCCGCCCCCACCGCCACTAGCCACCGGCTGTACGCCCCGGCCCAGTGTACGCCGGTATCCAGGACGCAGTGAGGGCGCCGCCGCTTCCGCCATCTTTCCCGGCTGACCGTACCGCTGGCGTCCGTCCCGAGAGCCCTAGCCGCCTACCTTGGCGCCAATCTGGTTGCCGCACTGCCCAGCCTGCAGGTGCACGATCTCCCTCATGGCGGCGGCGACTGCGGAGCGGCGGCAGAGGAGTAAGAAGTAGGGAGGAGCAGGCGCACAGAGTGCTACAACCGACGCTCTACCAGCACTTATATAGCCCTCATGGCCCGCCTTCGCCAGCCTACGATTGGGCTCCCAGAACGAGGCCAAGAAGCACCCTTGTTTAATTGGCTACTTTTCTGTCAATCGGGTGTTCTAAGGCCCGCCTTCCCAACTATATTCGCTCATTATTGGTCCGTCCTGGCTAGGATTCTCCCTATCACAATCCCCGCCTTGGCGCCGCAGTGCTCAATTCATTGGCTGTTTCAAATGATTGATTTGCACCCCCATTGGCTGCCTCATGTTAGCACACCGAAAACCTGACACTATTGGCTGCGCTGGGTTGGCGTCCTGGTAACCGCCGCAGTGCAGCGCGCGGGCGGGACGTGGAAAGCAAGCTTCCGGCTGAGAGGGAGGGGTGTCTTTTCAGAGTTTTGTGGGCTCAGTTTGGTTTGAGGATCTGGGTGCTGCTGTTGGGAGAGAAAACAGCCCAAGGTATTACTGTCCCGTACACATTGAGGTCCAGTTCGGGGGCTTCCAAGCTGAGGCGGATTGTAGCCATGAAACAACAATAATAGGCTCCGGCGGTGGCGCTGGGTCCTCCCGGGACGCACTGGGCAGGCGCGGGGTCTGTTTGTTCCCGGGAGGGCCCTCCCTTCGCCCTTTCGGCTGCGCTCGATGTTGTGGAAACCAGCTGGCCTGGCGCCGGTCTCCTTGGATCCTGTGCTCCAAGTGCGCACAGAGTTGCATGGAGACTGCAGGGCCGGGCATGCCTGGCCATGACTCTATGAGAGGGAAAAACAAACGAACAAACGTATAGACGTTAAATCAAGCCCCTGTCCTGTAATGGAACACTTAGAGAATAATACATTATTTATATATTTCTGTAAGTTTCCCTCCCTCCCCCTGAAGTGTCTGGTTCAAAGCCCCGCTACCTTCAACGTGGCAGTATTGACATTGTCCTAAACAGAAGGACTTGGCCAGGAACAAGCCTAAAGAGGTTTTTGTTTACTAGAAAAGTAGATCTAAGATGTTTTTGGTTCACCAGGAACTACCTCTCTTAGCCTTCCCCGCAAAAATAAACTGCCAGGGGCACATATTTCTGAATCAATCCTTTTCCACCATCTGGTCTTCTCCCCCTCACCCACAATGGCCTTGGCAGTTTGATCCCCAATAAATCTTTCTGCCCACGGAACAGTCTAGTTCGGTTGTTTCTTTGCGACATAATTTCATATGAGGCAGGTTTGGATTTACAGTCCAAAGCTAGGCTCTGTAACTTTCTTAAAAAAAAGAAAGAAAGAAAGAAATGTTACACTATGGGGTCTGTTCCAGTCTAACCATCAAGTTTTTGGTATGAACTACCTCCAAAACTAAGACTGTTAGGCAATCCCTATTATTTGTGGTATCCAATACCAACAAGTCACAAAGAAAAACCATCAGGACAAGCAGAATCCTATATCCAAAGCAGCAGCATTCTGTTGGATCGAGTCCCATTGTTTATGTTTACCATTCTGACCAGTATACTAGTCTCTAACAAGACCTGACTGTCCCCTCCCTAAAAGGGTTCAGAAAGGGGGAGGTGGGCTCTGTCGACACTGACAGGACCCTAGGAGGACTAGATGTGTGTGAGGAGCACCAGATTAGTTTTGGTCATGCTGAGAGTTATCTCAATGCCCAGAGTATCTTCTGAGTTGACTCATCCTTGAGAAGTAGCTTGGCTGCCAAGCAGTAGACTTAACCACTAGAATCTCCAAGCCAGTACATTTACATCCATGAAGGAAGCAGAAGCTCTGAGTTTTAACACGAAGAACTGCCAGGGCTTTTCTTTGAGATGTATGAGTTCCAAGGTGGGCAATAGGTACAAATAATATAGCAAAAGACCATGGCTCTTGAGCATAAGCCCACTAAGGACAGTGGCTACCCACAGCTGATAAGGGAAGAAAGTGTAGATCTTCATCATGAAGTAAGAGTACCCCTTGTGGTAATGAGAAAGAAGCCTATAGCCTGAAAGGATGTGCACAGGGCCCGCCAGAAGAGCAGGGAAGCAAGGCAGAATGGGCTGTGGGTGCCTGCCCTCCCTCCCCAGCCTGCAGCTGTTGGGGAGGCTGCACAAGGAAGGCTCTGTTTACTGGTGGCCATGGTCCCAGTGGGAGGGTGCATTACTGCCAGGCAGGAGCGGCAGGCAGACAGTCTTTGCGGCCTCAGAGGACCCTGTGGTCAGCTTTTGTGGAAGGCCTTCCCTCACCCCGGAAGGATCAGTGCCAAGGTGCTTCCCCTGTGGACAAGGCCCCACTGACCTCCCTCAGTGGATCTTCAGGGAAGCAGTCTGGCTCAGCCCCCCCCCCTCTGGAACACCAGAGAACACCATGAGGTTGTGTTAAAGCACTCTGCAATCAATCAATCAATCACAAGAGTGGGTGAACTAAGGCTGCAGTGCACAGACCTTGCTCTGTCTTTGCTGGAGTTCATCTCTGTAAATCCTTGTCTCCCAGAGCAGGCAGTCAATTCTCATGATAGACAGAATGAATTCCAGGCCCAGGAAACCTAGGAGCTGGGGTAGGGGTTGGCACAGAACTTGGGTGACATTAAAGGCTATGGGTAAAGAGGGCTTGGGTTGTTCTAAGACACAGAAAGGACCATGGAGACATCCACAATGTATGGAAGAGTGAAGGGAATCAGAAAATACAAGGGGGTTGGACATATGGCTCAGCAGTTAAAAATGCTTGTTGCCCTTGTAGAAGGCCCAGGTTTGTATCCCAATACGTATGTGGTGGTTCACAACCATCCATCCACCAAGCTGACTTCACACCTTCTGACTTCCAATGGCACCAGGCACAAGCTGTGCACATACATACACACAGCCAAAAACAAACAAACAAAAAACTAAAACCAGAAACACACACATAAAATACACAAATCTAAATAAGTGTTAAAACACACACATACAACCAAGGATAGTACCCTACAGGCTCTCCAGGCTTCATCTCCCTGAAGGCCATACAGGTTGACCCACAGTGTCTGGCTAGGCAAACCTGGAGATGGGGGAAAAGGTGCTGGGAAAGATTTGGGGCCAAGAAAATTCACACAGATGTGGGCAGGGTGGCTATAAATGAAACAACTCAAGTTAGTGAGCTTACTTAAAACCTTGAAGGTTTTGTTTGTTGTAATTCAGTCACACAGTTCTGGGTCATGAGCTATGCCAATGACAATGTCATGCCTGTAAGGATTCAGGCATTATGCTGGCTTGCCCCTGTCACCTGGCAGAATGCATGCAGACAGTACCCTAGTCAGCCCAGGGTTCCCTGAGTACTAGTCTGCATGCAGGTGTAAAGGACCCCTTTAAAAGACAGACAACCCACACACACACTTATACTTCTTTTGCTCTCTTACTGTTTTTCTGCTCTCTCTCCTCCCTGTTGCCCAACACCTAACCTACCCCCCCTTCATTTCCTCCACCAATAAACTCCATGTGGGCATGTTGTCTCGTGTTCGTGTTTCATTGCCCCGCAGCTGTAGCAAAAGAACAACAGTGCCTGAAAGCTATAATGGACAGCCGTATCCCGGTCCAGTCCACAGCTCTTCTGTGGGTCCTAGTGCTACAACCCAGTGCCTGAGTTTTGGGTGGCTTTTTTGGTGGTATGGAAGGGATGGGGGTAGGGTTGTGAGCAGCCTTAAACTGTAGGAAATGGTGAGAGGCCTTTTCTCTGGTGTCCAGTTACCTTTTGGCTGTAGGACAAGCCTTCCTGTTTGAAAACCAGACCGCCAGTGGGAGGCCCAGAGGAGGAGGGCAGGAGCTCCCACCAGGGCCCTTTCCTCTCCCAGGGCCTTCCTTAGGCGCTCAGGCGAAGAAAATGGTGTCTAGCCCTTATATCCTTTCACCTAGATGGGCAAGTCCTAGCAGGCTTCCTGGACAAGTTTGGGCACCAAGGTGCCTGAGGGAGGGTGCTGTTTAGGATCTCAGCAGGAGGAAGGGTGCCCCCTGGTGGCTAGGGAGACTGTGCCTGACCGAGCTTTAGGGCAGGACGCAAGCCGAGCCTCTTGAACTACTCGGTAACAGCCATATACTCGACTGTAGCTCCCTTACACCCATCGCCTGGTGGATGGATCTCAGGTCTCCCTCAAGACGTGGACTTGGGCTCTCTGCCTGCACAGCCTTCCCAGACAGGCCCGGGAAGGCCTCCGGTAAACCGGCGGTCACCAACCACCACAGAAATAAACAAGCAGCGCCTAGGGGGAGTCCTAATCCCGAGTCTCCGCTAGGAGCAGCATGGCGCTGCTTGTCCACCTCCACTCAGTTGGGATAGGTACCTCCTCAGGCAGCGTTATCTGGGAGAGAAAGTCAACACTCCTTAGTAACAGCGTCATTTATTTGCAAAGAATGGCAAACAGGAGTCTAGAAAGTCCACGTGGAGCCCCTCCCCTCCGCCCCCAGGGAAGACTAGCAGGCGGTCTCTCCCCACTTCAGTGCCCTGAAGCTGGTGGAGCTGGGTAGATGGACTATGGCACCCACTTTTCACAACTGCTGGGAAGCTACGATCTCTGGGTTCTCGTAGCAGTTAGCCACTTTGCTGGTGGTATTGGAGTTGCTGCAAGCCCTGCAGGGGCAACAGCCAGTCACCAGGCGGTCCCAGGGCTCCAGAGAATGGAGCCAGAGAGGCAGCCAAGCCCAGGATCGAAGACAGCGAGGCAGCCAAGATGGCCGGTGTCTTTGCAGGATATTAACCAGGATGATAAGGAGCACAAGCCCCACCAGAGGCCCTCCCACTGCAGCCAGCACTGAGCCCCCTGCCAGGGAAAGTCCAAAGGCTGCCAGGGGCAACAACAGGAAGGTGAGTAGCAGGTAGACAATGGCTACCCAGCGGTACTGGGCAGTCAGGTTCCCAAAGCGCTTGGCCAGTGGAATGGGTAGTCTCAGGACAGGCACCAGGTACCACAGCAGTATGCCAGCCAGGTTGAAGAAGAAGTGGATGAGGGCAACCTGGTAGGCAGGAAGGGTAAGAAGGGGTGAGAAGCTTGGGCCAGATGACATGGGGCACCTGGGCTTTTAGAAACTATACATTTTGCTAGGTGGTG